CCTCTGCCTTTGTCTAAACCCTGTTATGTTTGGCCAGACATGTAAGGTGTGGCAGGAAAACCCCGTTGTCCAAACAAACAGCAGGGCCATCCTTTGTCACTGCTGCAGATGAGAGCCTGGCACTTCCCGGCTTAATTGTCCATGGGGCCTCCAGGGCTTTTGCTGCTATATCACTGGGGCTTCTTACACATGCACACCTATCCACCCCCACGCCCCCCCCCATGATTGTTCAGAACCATTTATTGTCCGGAAGATCATTGAATGTCCTTCTGATTTCAGGTTGTGCTTGCTTTCACCCCTGATGGCAAAACAAGCAGTGGCGGCAGTGAGCTGCCTTCAGGCTTCCTGTTCAAGGTAAGACCCTGGGGTCCTCTGCTGTGACGCCGGGCTGGGAGTCAGGAGACCCGGGGCTCTACACGCTGGCCAGCGGTGTGTCCCTAGGAAGTCTCTTCTCCCCGTGCCTCTGCTTCCCCTCGCACCTCTGCCTTGCCTGTTGTCTGCTCCAAGCTCTTCAGGGCCATTGTTACATTGGCACTGATCCATTTTAAGCAGGTCAATGTTATCAGCTCCTAAAAGCCAAATCCAACCAGGAGGTCCCTAGCACCTTTTGGTGGTCTCTTCAATGGCAAAGGCCAGATTCTGGACCTTGGCTGGGGGCTTTTTCATCGCTGCTAAGGGAAATATGTTCTATGGGCTACATGCTCCTTCAGGGGCACATTTTTCACTGACATCAATATCCTCCATAATTTAAAGCTGTGGTTCTTACCAGCACCCTCAGGCCGATTGCAGACATGTGTGCTGCATCCTGCAGTGGGATATGAGGGTCTGGAACATGGCCCCCGTGACATGCCGTACGCCTCCAAGCTCTCCCCAGTGATGCTACCAGGGATGCAAACTGCGGGTTATGGGGTGGAGGACCTCCTCACTAGTGTCATCTTTCCCATGCCAGGCTCAAGCCATCCGAGCTCACACATCGGGTGACGAGAACCACCTGCAGTTCGGGGAAGGTGAGATCATTCTGGTGGTGTCGGACTCGCAGGCCCAGGTACGGTGGGGGCGTGCATTGCAGCGGCAGATGCATGATTGAAGCACAACAGGAATGACTGCGTAGACTCAGCTAATGAAGTCATGATCAAGCATTAGGTTGGAGTGGGTGGGGGCAGCTTGGGGACACTTCAGTCTGGCTGCTCAAGCCGGTTTCCGTGCTGTTGGACGAGAACTGCGTGAGAACGGGGAAGTCATAGGGTAGCAGAGAGACATCTGTGATCGCCGGAGCAATGGGAAGGAGGCAGTGGTGGTGCACTTTCAGACTTATTACAGAATCTGTGCCTGGAGATGTCACGCTGGAGACTTCTCTAAGGAAACCTGGCATTAGAGTATGCTTTGCCAGTAACTTGAGTCACCCACCTTAGTTATCTCAAGTAGTCTGGCCTCTGAGATACCACTCTACTCTGCTGGCTCTGTCTCTGGCTGATGCTGGCTAGGACTGGGACAGGGTTCAGTTTTAGGGGCAGGCTGGAGGGTGGGTGGGGGACTTTGCAGACTGTTTTCAGCAAAACTTCCCAAGGGAGACTTTTCAGAGCAGCTTCCCTTATTGCACAGTTTGTTAGGGCCACACACTCATTCCCTGGGGATTTCCAGTCCAGCCCCTGCGACTCTCACCCCGAGGGATGCTCCATTGCTCCAAGGCAGGAGACTTGGGGCCTTTGGCTGCAGCTGCTCCATTCAGATCAGGACGTCTGATCCCTTCATAACTTGACAATGATCCAGGCAGCTCTGGCAGTCTTAGTTATGACCCTGTTCCAGGCAGCATATGCTCTAGGGAGCTGTAATTAGGCCATAAACTGAGGGAGGGGACCCAGGTTGTCTTGGGAATTTCCTGTTGGTGACTAACGCCCACCTGGGATGTGGCTCGATCCTCTTGCAATCTTGGAGTGAGTAAGGGTTTGTCTGTGTGGGGACTTGACTGCAACTCGGCCTAAATGGCTGTGTGAGTGACACACGGTGAAACGGCCCCGGCAGGAGCAAGCTCCATTCCAGGATGCCTTGCAAGCTGGTGGTTCGGATGCTCATGGGAGAGCGGGGGGAATCAAATCCATGACCTGACCTGGGCGATTGCTGTGCGATGGAGAGAAAGGGCTCGCCTCATGGCTGAATGGCATATAGGACACCTGGCTTCCAAAATAGTCCTGACATGAGCTTGCTTTTCCTTCCTAGGAGGAAGGATGGTTGATGGGCTTCAAGGAGAGTGACTGGAACAAGAACCCTGGACAAGTACAGAGAAGAACTTTTCCCCGGGACGTCATCAAACCGGTTTCCTCGGACTGAGTCCAGTGCAGCAGCGTTGGTTAGGGTACAGCAGGAAGTGGGACCTTCTTATGCATCTTACAGCACGTAACATTATGCCACCGTACCAAAGATAGCATTGCCACACACAGCAACTTCAGACCATCCAACTGATACCGGGGTGGGGGGGCGGGGGGTGAGACTCTGTCTCTCAATAAGAGATGAAGAGCAGGTTGGAATTCATGGGGCTGGTGTGACGACGAACAAGCTCGGGTACAAGTCTGGGGGACCCATTACCAGCGCCCTTAAAAATCAACTGAAATGTCAATCCCCAGTGCTGTCAATAGGAAGGAATTTGCCGTCACAAGAGATTTGGGAAAATAAACAGAAGCAGTGGTTGAAAACACTGGCACAAGGAGCATTTGATTCCTTGTTGTTCAAAACACCCCTGAGTTTTGGCTCAAGCGCAGGACACGCATGGTTAACATTAAATGACACCAGGTGAAGTATATGGGGTTACTCACCGGCTTAGTTTTAAGCACATTGGCTTCAGTGCTTTGCTGGTTTCAGGGCCTTTCGTATATTAGAGTACAGCTTCAGTGACGTCTCCTCTTTGCAAGCCAGGTCAGCCCATGGCTCTTGGTGAGGACTCGTGGAGTTGAGACTTGCTCAGACCTCTGTGGCTGAGAATCCAGGTCTGATTTTCTGGCCGTGCTGCAGGGCATACAGGTCATTCGGGCCAAATACACAAGAGATCTGCTCTCGTTTCTCAGCTCCACCACGACCTTCTCTCTGCTGCATGCCAGTTTAGCTGTGACCGAATCCAATGCGTGTGATAAGGGCTGGTTCCTAGTGAGTGGCCTTGACGTCTTGTAGCTCTGGGAAGGAGCACCAAGAAGAGATGGTACTAAACCCACAGTGGCCTCCTGCTGGGTGCATTTTCACCCTGATTTTCACTCCCTGATTTATTAATAAAGATGCCAAGCTAAATCCCCCCAGCCTCTGCGTGTGGTGTGGCCCCTGGGGTGCGAAAAGGTCTTGCTGGTCTAGAGGCTTGTGGATTCTGCCTCATCTCTTACCTGCCCACAAAGAGTTAACCAGGAAAGGGCTTTCTGATGACTGTGCCTTTATCATTAAGGCAGCAAAACTGGAAAGGTGAGGAGAGAAGGGAACGCCTAGAGTCAGACACCATCAACTCAGCGGCTCTGGGAGAGGGGTGAAAACCCTGCATGCTGCCTTGTGCTGTGTGGACTGTTTGGCTCTGTCGGTGGTGGCAGGTAAGGACAAGGGGCAGGGTGGGGGTCTTGTCACAGCTCCTTCTCCATGTGGCTCTGACTTCAGTCTGCTTTACAACACATGTAGCCCCACAGCCTCAGTGGGGACCTTCTGGCATGTTGGTCTGCTTCAAACCCAGCCCCACGCCGGGATGTGACCTGGGTGGCTAGGAAAAGACTGACCACAAAGCCAGGAAAGCCAGCAGGCAGCTGAGGGAAGAGGGTCGCTGGAGGTGGAATTTGATTACCCGCCTAGCGTCAAAACTGCTCATTTACTGCTTGCGCCCCAGCACGAGCTGCTGGCTGCTGAACGCCGCTGAAAAGCAGGCTCCTTAACCTGCCTGGTGCTGGCTTCTGCGAACTGTGCACAAGCCTCAGCCCTTCCCTGCAGTTGAACTTGTACGATGTGTTGGCAGCAGTGGGATGAGGGGGAAGGCAAAACACAGCTCACCCGTCCTCTCCCACTTGGTTTGAAGACTTCTTTGTGGCTCGTACCGGGGGCCTGCCTCTGGACTGGAATGGGGCAGGGTCCAGAAAAGCCTCTAGCAAGCACCGGGGAATTGTGATCCAGGCATCCCCAGGAAGTGAAAGACTGGGTCTGCAGAATGGGGAAAGAAGAGGTGAGGGAGAATCGTGCTCACCCTAACCCTAACCCCACCGGGGGCTTCAGATGTTTCCAAAGTCTTTTGGCAGGCATCCGATGAGCAGGCCCAAACCTGGAGACTTGGGGCTCAGATACCCCCAAGTTTCACCTGCTCTCAGCCATATGGCCACAAGAGCAAGCTAGAGAGGCGCCTCCCGTTGCCATAAAGTGGGCTTTAGGCCCCAACACCTTGGCAGGTGCTAAACCACGCCGGAAGAACAGTCATCTCCGGGAGCGCTTAAGGAAAACTGCCTTCATGGACCCAGATACAAATGGGGCCCTGCTCCAAGAAGCTGTAGTATCTCCTGCCTTGGAAGCTTATAGGCAGCCTCCCTCTGTGATGGTTTAGGAAATGCGAGCGTTGCACCAGATTTTTTTGAAATTTCATGTCTTAGCCCAAATCTGCCAAATCAGGTCCGACTTCTATTGACTGAGCAGAGCTGTCATTCAAGTTGGTGTGGTGCTACCACTGGCAAGTGTCCTCCCTCCCAGACTCCTCGTCCTGGGGTTTCAGATAATCCCAAATCCATGGCAGGCATCCTCCATGCAAGTCCCAAGCCCGGAGGCCTTGGAGTTCAGATGCCCCCTAATCACACTTGCCCCAAACCAAAAGGCCAAAGGAGCAAGCTATAGAGAAAGCCTGAGAGCAATCCCCCACCACCATAAATTGTGTAGCTGAAATCCTCCCATTGGAGGCATTACAGACTCTGGCAGGGGTCAGCCTGCCCGCAGTGCAAGGGACAGGTCTCCACCCTCAACCACACCAAGAAGAAGGGGATCTCCCCTGCCAGGTCAGTAAAACCACCTAGACCAGAATCCACCTCCCTTGCCAGGTAAGTACTAGAGGTCCCTTGCTGGGGTCCTAGCTACTATTGCAGTACAAATAAGCAACCACTTTCCTTAATATAACGCTCTTGGCAAAGGTCAATGGTAACGTGGGCTGGGAGATGAAACACTCCTCGCACTCCTATCCACAGAAGGGATCCCTCTCAGTCTAGGCTGGCCATGCCACTAAGAGACAGGGTGCTGAAGGGGTTCAGTCCGCCTCACCCCTTGCTGCGTGGAGCCCCAAAAGCACCCATCACTAAAGCCTTGATAAGCACAACCTGCCTGGGTCTCATTGCACCTCATTGCCCGAGGATTGGCCTGGACCAGGGGAGCTGGGCAGTGCTGGGCAGCTCCAGGGAGCAAGACTGGAGGCTTTCCCTGCCACACCGTGTCACTTTAAAAGCACACGCAGAGAAGAAAATACCCAGCGGTGTGTCAGGGAAGTGAGTCACCATGGAAATGCACCCAATCAGCGCTGAGGGCAGAGGAACAGCATTAGACTTGCAAGCTCCGGCAGCTGGATGACCAGAGCAGTCAGCAGCTTGTCCTGCCAGGACCTGACCTTCCAACCCACGTGCACGTGAGTAGCCCCACACGGGACTGAAGCGGTGCAGAGACCCATTGGCTTCCAACCCACTGGCAGGGTAAACACCTCTCAGCTGTTCAGCTTTGTAGCTGAATCCTTTATATGTCTCTGATACTTCCCCCACCCCTCCACCTTCCCAGGGCAGCTCATGCTGTAGCCAGCAAGCTGGGAGCATAAACTCTTTGCAGAGGCCCCTCGCTGAGTTTATTACATCCAATCACTCTTTATTCCCAGGCCTTAAGGGCATCACACTTTGATACCCAGGTACAGTGAGGAAGGGTGAACTTGGCAGCACCTGGCTTCCCTCTGCCTTTGTAGGCACTGGGACCTTTACTTTGATTGCTGCTGTTTGAGGTTTATTCCTTCTTTGCAGTCTCTTGCTGCAACACCGGTGTTTGGCAGGTTGCAGTGACTCCTGGGTCACTCTGTTCCTTGGGCGAGTGGCAGTTGTAGCTGTATATTGTGTTTTGTGCTCATGCTTCGGTGCTCAGCTGGACAGGTCCCAGCGCCGTGCTATGGTTATGTAGAAATGATGTGATATAACCTCTCCAATGCAGGATACCCTGGTCTGGGCTAGCCTTAATCATACTGAGTGGTTTGCTGGTGGCTGTTGAAATACCCAATTTTCACTCTCAATGTGAGCCTTCATCCATTTAGAAGCTGACACCCTGGAGACGCTATGCCTTAGGACACTACACCTTAGGACCTATGTGCAGCTGGGCTGACTGCAGACAAATGCTCCTGGCTTAAAAGCAGCTATTAGCTTGGGAAAGCCTGTCCCCCTCTGACTTCCTTGGTCACTTGCTGTCTGCCTGAACTTCCCCAGCTGACACATTATGACTGTCAAACTAGGAGAAGGTCTCTAACTGGATTCAAGCATCGTTACAGCAGCTTCACCCAGTGTCAGAGCCACAATTCAGGCACTAGCATTTGCAAAAGGGATCACCGTCACAAGGTCCATATCTTGTATTCAACAGACAGGGGTTCTGGGTGCGATTCAGGGAACTCCTTTGCAGGGATTGCAGCTCAGCATTGCAGTGCCAGCCCATGCTGCTGGGCAGAGCAATAAAAGCTGAGATCTGGGGAGGACGGTAAAACTGCCATAACTAAGTGAAGCTAACCCATTTATTTGCATTGTCTAGATCAAGCCCATTGCTACTGGACCCTAGGGAGTGGCTGCAGGAAGCTAGGGTGATCTGTGACTCAGAGTCAGAGTGCCCTGTTTTGTTTTGGCGGCACAGGGAAGGGACCTGCCGTCCCTGTGTTTCAGCAGGGGTTACTTCCCATTTCACATCTGCTGGGACCTGCTGACTGCTACATTTTGGAAAGGAGAAGGGGGTGGGAAAGCTCTATCCCTCCCTGCCTGTGCTGGTCTGAGAGAAACAACTGCTCACGCACAAGCTGCTTCCCCCTGCTCAGCTGCCACTCCAGCGTGAGGTGTTGTTTCATGGATGCACAGGCCAATTTGTACCGTGGTGGCACTTAATAGCTCTAGCTTAATAGCATTAGGGCAGGGGCAGCCAACCACCAGCCTGCACACCATGAGTGGCAAAGGCAACGTCTGTGCAGCACGTGGCACATGGGACAGTTCAGATGGGGCAGGGAGCAGAAAGCAGAGCAGCAGATTGGGCAGGGGAAGGGGATCAGAATGGCACTGGGGGAGGGTGCAGGGCTAATTTCTGGCATGCCTGCCAACGAGGTTGGTCCCCACTGCATTAAGTCAGTGGCCTGCAACCTTTTGAGACTCAAGGCCCTCCCACCCTGTTTTGTTGGACTTGGGCCCCCTTGGAACATGCCAGCTCTTAGGCTTTTACCCATTTTTTGACTACGGAAAAATACTAGAGTAATTTTTCTGTTGCAAAGAGCTCAGAAAGACCCCAGCAGGGTAGGATGTATTTGACCCCACAGATTCCTATTTGAAATCGCTGGATTTATCTCATGAATCACACGTAGATGTTTGCACATCTCTCTGTACTGATACGGCTCGGTGCCCTGCAGCACCCCTAAAAGGATTTCATGGCACTCCAGGGTACCCCGGCACCCTAGTTGAGAATCACTGCTTTGGGATAGGAAATGAAGGAATGGCAGGTGGGCACAACATGCCAGCAGGCTGGGAAAGGCAAGGCTGTATCTTCTCAGTGAGGGAAGCACAAACTTAGAGCGTAAATAGCAAAAATGAATTTGGATCCAAAGTATTTTCTATTTCAATAGATAATGCAATGGTTGAGCCTTGCTTTGTTGCCTTAAGACGACTCTCTTAATGTAACAAGGTGTTTTTAAATGCAAAGAACAATGCTGTTGAGAGGATCAACTGCGCTGACCTAGATGGGCTGGTGTTGAGCCGCTTTGTTGAAGCCTGCTCCCCAGTGGGCTGTTTCTGGACAGAACAGCCACCAGGTCGCTGGTGAGGAAGGGAAAGGAACTGTTGCTGTGTTATTGCAACTGCTTTTGCATGGTGCATCTTGTTCCAAAGTCTGTGTGCCTTCAGCAAAGCCCTGCCTAGTAAAATACACAAGGTCCTGCCTGAATTGCACTGCAGCTGCTGTTGAAACTATGGAGATGGGAACATATTGCGTGGTTATTTGGCAAAATGTTTGGGAGGGGTCTTTGCAGAAGGACAAGACTGCAGCACTTTGGTCTTGGAGCAAGCAGCTTGCTGGTTCCTTTGAGCAGGTTTCTAGACTTGGCAAAGGGCAGTGCGGACCCTAGGTGCAACCACTTCACCAAACGACACAGGCGCCTGGACTGCACAAGGCAAAACAGCATAGCAAGATGTGATAAGGCAGGTGAGCCTACTCACCCAGTCACCTTGCACATCGGGGCTTGTTTCATTCCAGGATTGTCCGCTGAGAAAAAGAACCGTTAGAAATAAATGAACAGTGTTCGCTGAGTGTCCCCAGGACAATTACTAAAAAGGAGCCCATTTACGACAATATAACGACAAATGATGTGATTGTGTTATCCGGGTCCACATATTCCCACCTGAGTTCCCATGTTCCTACCACACACGTTCCCACTGCACACGTACACACACATACTCCACATGTGCATCCTTCTCTGGGTGTGGACTATTAATAGCCCATTGTTGTGAGGTTGCTGCACAAAGTACAGCTGGGCAGGAACTGGTTTTCCTGCCCCATAAAACTTGTTGAGATCTTCAGAAATGTTTCCTTGTTCCACAGCTGGACGACAAAGACTATTCCACCAGAAAACAAAAGCAAAGTGGGGCAAGACTAACACTTCCCAACCTAGGACGAGCTGCCTATAGACCAAAGGTTATGTCACACCTGGGACATACAGGAGACCTTGTTCAATCCCTGCCGTCCCTGGTTTAGAAGTTGAACCTAGATAATCTGTGCACGGGGAAAGTGGCCGGTATACTGGCTATTCAGGAAGGGTGGGTCAAACTCCTCCAACTATAGAAGACTTCGTGAAGTTTTGATGGAACTGACATATTCCAGTTTGGACACACCTGCATTTTCCAAAAAAAAAAGGTGGGGTGGGGGGGAATAATTGAAATCCCTGCCTAGGTTTGGTCAAAAGGCAAATGGAAATTGAGAATATTCAAGTCTAGTCACTTGAGTCTGGGCCTGGGAACTCTAACCTGTGTGACCTGGGACAAATCATGCTGGCCAACACTTTCCAAATTCCCTCCTGTTTTGGATGCCCATCTGAGCATTTCCATAGCTGGGAAATTGGTAACCATCAAATCAGACCCTGCATGGCCCAAATCTAAGAGCTGGACATTGTAGCCTTGATGTGTCTGCTTTGGTGACATAAAGAAAAGCATTTTCTTGTGAAGCATTTACCAGGATTTTACTGGTTGCTACATGGAAGCCTTTTTGAAGGAATATATTTCTTTACAGGCTCGTTAAATGAAATCTAAGAACCAATTGGAAAAAAATGCACAGTTTCCCTATTTCACTACTTAAGTATCAGGATGTTGTCCTCCGGGCAGGGCAGGACTGGCTTAAAGATGCACAATAGCAAATGCTTCCCTAATCTCCGCTTGCCTTAGCATGTTTTTGGTATGGCCTTTCTTATCTATTTCAGGTGAGGTCTGCACTAGATTAGATTTGAGTTTTTGCTTTATTTTCCGGCAGGGCAAGTCCCGTGTTCCTGCCACACTTAGCTCACTGGAATCAGTAGCTTAACATGAATAAACAACAAGTTAATTCTCTCATTTAATATTATTTTCCTTGCTTTTTTCTCTCCCTCCATCCCCCTTCCCTCCTGTAGTGCTTGAAGATACTAACACTTCAATTTGAAAGACAGAGCACAGTGGCACAGCTCAAGCAGATGTCATGGAAGTTGATCCAGCACTTCCATTAAATACAGGTATGAAATGGACAAAACCTTGACAGATTGCATATGCCGAGTCAGGAATCAATAATTCATGGCTTGGTGTTGTAGCTCTCAAAAGAAAAGCATCTTGTATGATACAAAATCCAACACCCTAACAGGGGAGACAGGAGTTAATATTAGCCTGATGGTAGAGAGATGTGTGAATGCAAACGAACTCATTAATATAAATGAGCAGCCTCATGCAGCTTATATCTATGTTGTTTTCTGGGTTTCCCCCCACTCCCCCCCCGCCATGTGAAATACCTCCTGCAGTTCACCTATGTGAAAAGACACCTGATTCACCCATTCCTCAAACCAAATTTATCCAGGAGACCTGATTTCAGCACTTCCTGGCCACCCTACTCTTCCAACTGTCCCCAGCTGACCAGGAACAGGTGCTGGAAGGAGGAACCTGAGTGCCACCATCGCTGTCCTGGCCAAACCCAGCTGCCCACGCAGCTGCTCCCTGCAGCTCTGGGGCTCCCTTCATGCCTACGTCATTCAGACAGTGGTGGTGGTGGTGTGCAAGTTCTTCCTTGCAGTGCCTGCTCCCCACCAGCAAGGGACAGGGAGGAGGACCCTGGCAGCTCCACTGCTGTTGGCATCCCACACAACCACCTCTGCAGCCACCACTGGAGCAGCTCTAGGGCTCCCCCTGGGCCCACATCAGCTGGAGACAGCAGTGGCTGCAGCAGAAGGAGGGGGGGTGTCTACACTGCAACATCCCCCCTACTGCCTACAAAAGACTTCAGAACGGAGCTGCTCATTACTGTTTTCCTGGATGCTGCTGCTGTCCATACAGTGCCATGCAGGACACAGCCCAGTTTCATAATGTTGAATGCTAAACCTGTCCCACCTGGAGGACCAAGCACCATGGTCTTAAATGGAGGAAAACTTGGAGATCCTAATAGGCGTTTTGTGCCACTGACATCCCCAGGAGGTGGCCTGAACTGCCTGTTGCTTCCTGGTTTCCAGCCATCGCTCTCTTTTGAGAGTGGTTTGTTGCAAGCGGGTCCTAGTGGGAGACCAGTATACACTACTATAATTGAGCCCCTCCAAAGATGGGTCCATTTTAAGTACCTTGAAGATCAATTACAGCCTCACTCACATGCTTCTCCTTTCTCTCCTCCCCCTCTGTTCTTCATTCAATACCTGGCACAATGAAGAGGAAGAGGACCTAACCACCCCATTTATGAAGAGGATGTATACACCAGCTCTCCAAGAGGAAGTCAATGTGGCTGTCATTGCAAGTGTGTTATTACCACTGTAAACTTAAGGCTTTCTTGATCCCAAGCAGTGCATAGGCCATCACTCTGGTCTCTGAGCCACACTGGCCTGCTAGACACCAGTCTGTGCTTTCTGGGTAAAGCACTCCTGGCCTTAATCAAGGGGTGGGCATTATTTTGGGCAGAGGGCCGCTTACTGAGTTTTGGCAAGTCATCAAGGGCTGCATGACAGGCAGCCAGAGGCAGATAAATATTAATTTTCTAAATTTTTAGGGGCCCCACGGGCCAGATAGAGTGGCCTGGTGGGCTGCATTTTGCCCACCCTTCCCTTAATTCCTTATAAATTCAGTGCAGCAGAAACCATCTTGATTCCAGGGGGAGAAACTAATATTTCTGCTACAGCAACGGGCTTAATTGCAACCCCTGAATTGAGCAGTTCCTAACACAGCCCTTCAGAGATTGCTTTTAGATATATATGCTGGGAGTGACAGCTCATATCAGTGAGGATTTGATGATGATAACTTAAGAGATGGGAACAAGGTCACAATTATCCAGCTGATAGCAACTAAGCTCTTCCAGAGAGAGGAGTTTTAATATCTCACAAGTCCTTCACAAGTCCTCTTTAAGGGGCATCCGAAGGATAAGATGAAAGCATAGTGATAGCCCAACTCATTTTAATTTAGCTGCTTAGGGTAACTATGGTAAGAAGGACCTAAGAATTAACTGTGCAACCCTTCTTTCATCTAATTTTTCCCTCTTCCTCGGAAGGTGTCATCACTGTGGTTTTCATCACCCTCCTGACCGTCCTGATGGTGATCATAGTGTACCTATATAAGAATAAAGGCACTTACCTCACCTATGAACAATCAAACACAGAGCCTGATGCATCAGTACAGATGGAGAATGTGCCTCCCAAAGGAGAAAAGGAAGAGTATTTCATTTGATTCCTTTCAGCTTCTAAGCTGTTCTCAGCTTTGATGTCAATGTGCCCAGACCTTCCCAGACTCTGGATTCGAAAGACTTTTTCTCCTCCTCAATTTATTAACTGGATCAAGGAAAGAAAAGTGTAATGGGTGACTACTAGCCTTGATCATAGTTCTACTGCACAGACTGCTAATGGAAAGCCAGTATCACCACTGTAATGAGAGGTGAGCAGGAGGATGCTTGCCAGTAGCAGGGATAGCTGGTGGTTGGCACTTCCTTTTCCATGACTTGCAATACAGTTGATTGGCCAGATGTCTGTACAGCTTGTTTGTGTTTCTCTCCTCAGTTGCTCCAAGGGATGGTGGAATAGATTAAGGGCCAAACTGATGCGCTTAAAGTAGCATCCACAGATTATGGGTGCAATGGGGTGAGATCATTTCTGCTCCTGCCAAACTTAAGCTCAAAGGACAAGAAGTTGTTGCAAGGTAGTAGCAGAGTTGGGGGCAGAACCCAGAACTTCCTTCACTGCCCTTCTCCTGGGACTGCGCCACTTCCCTCAAATGAGACAAAAACCCAATGGCATTTAGATTCCTAAACAGGGGATAGTTAACTCCAAGGGCTAAAAAAAAAAAAAATCTCCTTAAGTGGTTGCAATCTCTGTTGCCAGTCTCTTCCTTGAGGAGGGAAGGTTGAGCAGCATTGCGGAGGGAAGGTTGAGCAAAGGGAGCCTCTGCCCTGCTTATTAATCAGACCCTGCTGCACAAAGCCCATTGTCCTTAACACAGAAAGCTCTGAAAGCAAACCCTCCTCTTGTTACTTCCAAAGCACTTCCCCAAGGGGCTGGTGAGAAGCGAGCACTGCTGCCACCTGGCGGTATAAATACCTAGTGGTAGGTATAAATTGGTGTGGAGTTGAGATGCCCACATCAGTAAAACCAACTCTAAACCATTATTTCACCTTCAACTAGATAGCGAGCGGACTAGACCCCCATGCTCAGGCAGAGCCCCTCAGACTTCTGTGGCAAAACCCTGCCCAGGACTTGTTAACAAGGGCAGTTCTCCCATAATGTTTGTTCTCAATTCATTCCTTGTGTCAATTCTTTTCTAAAATGGATGAAGCGAACTCCAGGATAAGACATTCTTTTCAGAAGAAATGGTGCAACTCAGCTGGCTGCTATCATTATCCTTCATTCTGCTTGTGTTAAAATGCCTTTTCCACCTCACAGGTGTCTTGTTGGGTATATCTACACAGCCATGTATGCATATGCACAAAGAAAGGTAGACTCATGCCAGCTCAGGCAAAGGCAAAGACACAGCAGCACCAATTTCAGCATGGCCTAGCAGCCCCTTGAAGCCTACTATATACACTACACATTGAAGTGTGCACAGGCAGATCCTTTCATCTAGCTAGCCTGGCTAACAGCAGCAGTAAGCTAGCCTGGGAAGACCTAATCACGCTGCAATCACTGCAGCACAGGCATACCCCCTGCTGCCCAAGACTCTAAAACAATGCAGCTGCATTCTTTGGCCCTTAAGCAGCACTATAATAATATAATAAAAGTAACCAAATTTGAGTGTCTTGGCTGAACCAGGCTAAAAGACTTGAGTGTGCCCTGAGGTTACAGTGAACCCATCTTCTGTGGTAGCACAACCATTTCCAGCAAACGGAGTCAAACTCTGCAAATGCACTGCACTTTGTATTTTAATTTGACCCTACTTCGCTTACCAAGAACACAGTTTTGGGACAGCCACAAGTCAGTCCGTCATTTTCTCTGTTCATTTTTCTCACCAAGTTTGGATACGAAGCTTTGTGAAGGGCTCAGCAAGTCCTGTTCTCTCCCCCCCACCCCCCAGTCTGTCACTCCCATTTCAAGTTTAGTTTTCCCTTGTACAAGATCTACCTACACAGGCAATTTGCAAAAAAGGCAAACAAGAGGAAGCAGGCCTTGAAGAAAGCTGTGCAATAGCCTAGTGTTTTGTGAGGTCTAATGCAACTTTGGCACTTTATTCAAATTTTCAAAATAGTCTTTATTCTACTTTTTTTTTTTAGTATAAAAAATCCACAAGTTAAGTGCACCACAGTGTGTACAGAGAGAAAGACTTAATGCTGAACTTCCATAACAGTCAGTTAAATGGTTAAACACAACATATACACAATACACAGACTTAGATTAAACTGAAACTTCAAGATAAAATATATTCAAATCTGATTTTTTTCTTCATAAAACAAAAACCCAAAAGATAGAGGATCCCTGAAATATTTCTTAACCCTAATAAGACTTCACTGTACCCAAGCCTTTTTTTTTTGTTTTGTTTTGTTTTTTTTTTTTTTTAAGTATGCATTCCTAAAACAACCCAAACGAGCAAGGAAATTTGTGTGCTGACTGACAACTGCAACACACCTCAGTGCAGATGGAAACCACCTGTCTCTCTGTTCTGACTAAATCCCCTTAAGGAATTTTGCTGTCAAGACACCAGGTTGCTCTAAAACAGAAACAAAAATGTTGCTAAGCTTGTAGTTTTTAAAAGTCTAGATAGCATTTAATGAAATGTTTAAACATGAGTTGCATTGTGTTTCTGGCACCAAAGCACGGCTTTGATTAGATTCTTAAATGTGCAAAGTCCAAGATTCCTTGGAGTGTATAAAAGAACGCCCCGTGGTACACTCTAGCTGTATACCTTCCTGGAGAGAAATGAAGAGCAAATGTGAGCACAGAGTGCTTCAAGGGATCCCTTCTCCTAGGAAGTCAGGAAGGAAAAAAGCCCTATATGTCCGACTATGGGCCCTCCAGGGAAAAATTAATATGACTGGCTTTCTATCCACAGATTCTATAGAAGAGGAAACACAACATGCATCTCTCAACCCTACTGCCAGGCCATTGAGTTGAGACAGGTCTGCATGGATTAGATGTGGAAGCCAGGTTTCTTTCCTAACCCTTTCCCGCCCCCATAGCCAAATTCATACCTAGCTGATTAATAAAGCCAAAAAAGACAGTGCTACAGTATTTACTCCAGTGGAATTAAAAAGAAGATCTGTGGGGCTCCTTAGCTCATGTTCATTTCATGATTTAACCCCGGGTGAATAGAGGCACTGCTACCATGACATGGTTCAAAAGGACTCAAAGTGCCTGAAGGGATGGGCATCAAGAGAATGCCCCACCCAGTATGTGTCTAAACTGCAACTTCAGGTTAATATGACTAAAGCAGTTACATGGTGAGAAGTGCTGACAGTATGTGATGTCTTTCCTTACACAAATGAAGCCCCCTCCCCCCACCCTCCCCCTTTTTCTAAATCCACTACTGTGTGTTGGA